TCCACAGAAATAGCAAATTAAAAAAAAATGTAATTTGAAACTTACAACTAAGGCGTTAAGGAAAAGTTTGGAAATAATCGAGATAGCAAATTTATTTTAGTTTTAGACAGAACTACTTTATTTTATTCTTTTTAAAACAATTGAAGATTTATAGCTGGAGAAGCGATTTGAAATCGGTAAAACGATTGTCCAAAAACGCTCTTAAACCCCCGTCCACAAAATCACTGTTGACCAGTGTAATTTATAAATATATTCACACATAAATTTACAAGCAAATTAAACAACAAAATATTTAAGAATAGTAATATTAATAATTGTCATTGATTGAACTGAATATTCAGTCCAATAGGCTCTCTACCGAAGTCCTTTCCCTTTTTAGAATATCTTTCAAATTCAACAATTTTACATGTTTTGTTCCAACGCGGATTTTAATAATAGATTTATAAATTGTTTTTTTTTTTATTTGAATGTTAAAAGTTCTTGAAACTAACTTTAACATATATTTCCCATGCTGGCGTTTAGTGTTCAAATAATGGGACGATTAAACGAAAAAGGCTTACGAGAGCCAGTTGCCCTTTTTTGGTACACATTTGTGCAAGACAACTTTACAAATGTTTCCTTCTTTTTTCTCTTGTAGAAGATAGACACACCAGCACTGGAGCGTACAATGATGGTATTTTAAAAAGCCACGTCACATATTTGATTAGATAATTAACTTGATATAAGTGCCTTCAAGACTTAAGTCGTTAAGCGTTCAAGTTTTGATTTCCCAACCCGGATTCAATTACAGATAAAAACATTCTTTTTTATTTTGGACAAAATATGAAAAATACAATTAATGCAATCTTTCTGCTAAATTTTATAGTATTTTGATAACAGTTCAGAAAAAATAGTAGTAGTCGGTAACTGAACTTCATGAAATCCAAAGTTGAGCACTTAACGTCCTGAGCAATAAAGGTTTATGTCAATTTATCTCTGTATCTAATCAAACATGCAACATTCGCATTTTCTATAATTTATTTTTTAAGACGCTTTCGTTGAGCGCTTCATCACTGTAGGGCATGCAGGAAAATACAAGTACAAAAAAAAATAAATGAAAAATTTGTAATTTTGCCTTTTGAAAATAATACTCCTAAATGTGCTACCGATTCCGCTACCATAAATTGGTACTCGATTCGTTTTCAAATGGTGGTAAAAGTTGAAAATTAGTGGCTTACATGTTTTTATTAATTAGTATAATTTCACTAAACGTGTTTGGTATTATGTTATAAGTTTACCTAACAGCAAAAAATCTGTTTAAACTTATATTGAATAATAAAATTATAACTACACCTATATATATTTACCCATTATTAATTTTTTAATTTTCAACTTAACATCCTGTATTTCAGAACATTTTATCCAAGCATTTTTTATTTTCGTCTATTCGTCTCATTTTGAACAATAAACTTCAGTTGTTCATGTCCTATTCTTAATTTGATACCATTATATAAAAGTGAATAAAAATAAACAGCGTAAAACTCAAGTTTTAATTAACCATCAGCGATCAATCCAAAATCAACCACATTATAGAAAAAAATGTTCCCCTATTATAGTCAAATTCCACCCAATCTTAACTCATTCAATCTTTTCCAAACAAAAACTGGTTTATTTTATTATATTGATTTTTTTGGCATTTTATGTGACCTTCAAATACCTTTCTGTAATAATTTGCAATAGTAAATAGTAACTATAAAAATACATTACCGAAGACAAGTATAAATGAAAAAGAAGATTTTAAATTATAATTCATACTCAAGCACAGACATGACCTAAAGACCTGACTTGGACCACAAATACAGTATCGCCATCTACATTCTATGTCCATTGTCCTCCAATGATATGTCCATATGGTTACCCTACTATATTATCTTCATACAACGGTATTAGTATAATAGTTTTCTTCATTTACAGATTGGGATTTTTTTTTATTTTTTAAATTGGTAATTTTAATTTCCTACCGCGCAAATAATTATATAAGCTTATATATACAGTTACATTAGTTATAATTAATTTGTATTTAAGTTGACAAGGACACCAAGCAAAATTATATCTTATTTTTAGAACCTTTCTTTAGTGGCATTTCAGCCAGATACGTTTGTGTGGGAACATATATAAAAACATAATTTATAAAAAAAACCAAAGTTAAATTCATGGTCTGGTCTAATGTTACCACATTGGTCCAAAGTTACCCGATTTGATTGTAAAAGAGTTGATCTAGAATACATAAATCTTTTACGAATCGGTGATTTTCTCAAAACTAATAATTTTATGATGTGCCACTATTGCATCCAGTGAGCGATATTTCTCATATTGATGGTGGGAAGAGCTAAGTCATGCAATTACCAATTAGAAAAAATAGGTTTAGAACCGATTTCATAATGAACCTTTTAATATTTTTTCCTTAGTATGTAACTTTTATGTTAAAACGTTTATTTACATTATATTTACAGAATATAAGGAAATTTGGTGCAAACAAAAACAGATCCGATCCTCGATTTTATAATTGATTGTAAAAAAAATGTATGTTGCTTAAACATGTTTTAGAACTAAAAGAAATAGATGCATTTTCATTTATTTTCTTTCATATGTTATTGGATTTTAAGGTTATAATCATTACAAAATCGTTTAGCTCATTTCACCAGTGAATTTTTAATTTTTTTTTATAGGTGCATGTCATAAAGTTATAACTTAACATTTTTACGCACCATACATTTATTACAGCTAATTTCTCTATCCAATAACACTAAGAACATATTTGATTGAACTGAAGAATGGATATTTTTTCCCAATTTAACCTACTTTTTTTTATTAATAATGTGACAAGGTTACTATCAAACTCCATTCACTGAATCCTAGTAGTATTCTCATGGTGTTAGCGAATCCTTGTCAGATTTATTTAGCACAGCCGAACACTTCAATGTAAAGATTTATAACACTGCTGTTGCCTTGGACGTGCAAACAATTTTAATAAAGGACCAGGATAACAAGCTTCTTATTGTAATATTTGGTGAAATTTTCCATATGTTTATTTTCCTAAACTCAATCCTAAGTTTTGATATGCAGTTAAAAATAAGGATTTGTAAAGTGACCATTTTTAAAAAAGGTGGTTTTTAACAAAATACTTTTATTTCAATAATAATAATGCTTTTATTTATTGTTAGTATAACCTATGACGTAAATTATTTTTAATAAGGTTGAGTGAAAAATTATTGAAAATTTAATTTTTAATTTAGCATGATTATTTAAATTAACATCACACGGCAATAGCTTCAATTTTAAAAAATTGAAACTATCACATTTTTTACATGGAGAGTCTAAAAGTTGGTAGACTATCTTATAAGCGACTAGAGGTGGGCAAAATAATGAATTAATTGATTATTTTCAAACAATCGATTAAGTTTGGTTAACAGATTGTTTGATTAAGAGGTGTAACGTTTTTAAACTTTTTTTTCATATTTTTATTTGATTTTATGAATGGTGAACACCTTTCAAGAATATTGTGTGAAAATTTAACATGAATCGGAGCAAAACTAAGATATAGTGGTTTAAGCAACCGCACCAGAAAACACCTGCCCAGCCTGAACACGCTATTGTTACCAGACAGCTGTTTTGGACTCGTGGTGGGAATGGTAAAAAGCTGCAGCTTTTAATGCATTGTTTTCATTTAAATACACATACAGCACTCTTTCCAAGGATGTTTTGGATGCCATCAAGCCTATCTAAAGATCTGAGCAAAGATGCTCTCCTGGAGAGATGTCTCGGAGGCTTTATGCAGAACAACTAAGAGTTTCAAACCAACTTATTTGGAAAATCTCATCAAATCACTCAAGTGGAACCTTTGTCATCGTAGTGATTGCAGCTTGTGTGGTAGCCTGTGTCTTCAATGAAGGTTCTTTTGCTTTGCTAACCTCGATGAAAGTAGTGGACGAAGCGCTCATGAATGGGCGCGATCAACTGACTCCATGAGTATAAACTGAGCAGAGCAGGAAAATGAAAATGGACTGACTAAAGAAGGCAGGATTCGTTGTAGACAGGGGCAAAAAAATGCTTAGACAACATGGATGCAAGCAAGCAACATCCTTTATGGATGATTCAGTGTGAGTTAAGCCGATAAAACTCGCTTATAAACGTTTTATTCCAATTTTTCTAGTGTTCAAAACTTTAGAGCGTTTCCAAGGTCGGTGCCCGTCCTTTTGAAATTTTGAACACTATTTATGTACATAATTTACGAGGTAACGCTTTTTTTTTTCAAATTTGTTAATATTTTTAATTTTAAAATAACAAATTAGCTGATTTTTTCACTCGTTTCCAAAAAGTAAAAAATTTAAATTTCGAAAAACCCCCCTGCGTTACCTGGGGAAAGCGATTATCTAACGAAAGAACTTCGATTTTTTTTATTTCAGATGATCCAGCACCAAGTTATGAGGAGAACCGCAATTCTACTTTTTTCAAGATGCTTTCGAATAATTGCTGCCATTGCTGTTTTTTTAATATTTCTTCATGAAAATTTTACACTATTCTTCGAATGTTATACTTTAATGCACCATTGATTTTTATAAATTTTAAATGAGTCGTCAAAAAAAATTCACAAAAATATGCCTTTTTGCACGAATTAACGTTACCCCCCACCCCCCTAATATAGATTATTTTTGATTAATCGAATATTTACAAATAATTATTTAGATTAATCGATTATTTTCATTATTCAATTATGTTCTATTATTCGATTATTTTAAAAAATAATCGATTATTGATTTTGATATGAACAACAACAAAATAAGTTTTTCAAAATGAGAAGACAATCATTTAAATGGCCTTTATTGATTTACGAGTTTCCTTAACTCATTTAAAGATTGTTTATTTAAAACTAGTATGAATAGTGACACAGCCCCAATAAAATCAATTTAATTTTTATTTATTTCCGAAATGAGAAGAACATTAATGAATTGCCTTCTTACCTTGTTCTGATTTCCTCCTGCATCAGCAGACTCTGATTGAGAATGTCCGCCTCGTGGACGCGGTGGGCCACGCCTGCGGTAGCGTTGACGTGGTGGCCCACGCTGTCCATCTTGACCATTCTGATCTCCAGCCTGGCCCTGGCTGTCCTGGGAACGCGGTCTAACCGCACCTCTACCTCCGCGGAAGTTCCTGCGGAAGAATCGACGAGGGGCTCCTCGGCCGCGGGGAGCGTCGCCATTCTGATCGAGATCTCCAGGCGGCCCGCGGTAGGGTCCTCTAAAGTATCCGCCGCCACCTCCGTAGCCTCGGCGCCCGCGCCTTGGCGCGAAACGACGTGGCGGTCCTCCGCCTTGTAGTTGACCGCCCTCATCGCCGGACTGGGCTCCTTCCTAAATGCACAAAAAAAAACGACGAATATTAAATTGGATTCTTAGATCGGAAACCTGAAAATTACCATGACAGTCAGTGTGTTGAGATACCTCAACAATTAATTGAGACAAGATAATTGCAGTTTTAAGCAGGGTTGGAAAAATCCTATGAATTAAAAAATATATTTGTAGTTTTTAGGTTATTTAGGTTTTATAGTGTTTTAAGATTTTTTTTTTGTTCATATATGACAAAAATTATTAATAAAGTTAAACAAAAAATACAGCACAACTTGAAAAATAGAACTTTTATTATATTAAAAAAATCACATTCTGCAAACAAAAAAAGAAAAAAGTAAAAAATAAATGTTATTTTTTTTATTTGTTACTATCATTAATATGTTTGCATTTGTTTTTATATACACTCATTTTTATACCGTTTCTCCCGAGAGTTGACTAGTAAAATTGTGAATTCCTAATTTTTTCTTAAAACTCCTAAACTTACATCATTTTTTAAAAACCTAAAACCTAGGTACAAAAAAACTGTACCTGCCAACACTGATTTTGAGTGAAATATATTTTGTTATTGAAGAAATTTAGAAAGAACTATCTAAATAACGAGTAAAATAATTTAATTGGATAATATTCCTTAACAAAACGACTACTGCAACGAAGACCATAGTAACTCATTACTTCTAGTTTTGAGAATATTCATAGTATTTTATGGCCTAACATGATTTACTATATTTTATGGTCGTATTTCTGGTTGCTTAACCTTTTCGTTTAGACATACTATACTTTTCCAAGTCAAAGCTTTTGGTAAATATATTCGCTGAATAATGGTAACTCAAAAACTCCCAAAAATGAGTTACTATAGTCTTCGTTGCATGTGTCGAAAAGGTGACTCTGTATAAGAAAATTAAAATCCTCTACAATATAATGTGACAAGGTTACTATCAAACTCCATTCCCTGAATCCTAGTAGTATTCTCATGGTGTTAGCGAATCCTTGTCAGATTAATTTAGCACAACCGAACACTTCAGTGTAAAAGTTTTAACACTGCCGTTACCTTGGATGTGCAATTTTAATATTAATCCCTAACATTACCTGATTTTTATATATAAATATTAAAATTTATCAAAGATTAAATCCACCAATAATAGAAAAAGGGATAAGAGATATGTTTTTTGAAATCATTATTAAATCTAAAGTATTTAAATGATTAAAAAAAATATTTTAAGATGATTTTCTTTTAAATGATGTAATGAATTTGAATCTGAATTTAGTGGAAAGTGCCTTTAATTCAAGCTTCTTGAACAAAAAAATATTTGCAATTAAAGAATGGTGTCCCGTAAATATACTTAAAATCCACTAAAAATCTATATTACTGGAAAAGATCTAAAACACGTAAAGACTTCAAATAATCCTCAAAATCATTTAAGATATTCCTGGAGTGTTTCTAAGCTATGCAATAGACACAAATGATTTACCTGAAAATATAAAATATTTCCGGAAATCTTCTAAAATGTATTATGACCGTAACTAATTGTGGAAAACAAAAATTTATAAACATTATAAATAATGCTGGCAAATTTTTATAATAGGTATAAAAAAATCTGGAAGATAATTTTCCAAAAATTGCGTTTTTTATTTTCTTGAAAAATTTTAATTCTCTCATTTTTAATATTATTTCTAAAAAATTTATTTTGGTAATATTGAAAGTCTACAATTTTCCATTTGCCTGTAAGTTTTTAGAAACTGCCATAAAATCTGAAAAAAATAATATATAAGATACACAATCTTGGCGGAGAGTTTTCAAAACCTGGATATTTTCTAAACTATGGAAAAATTAATCAATATTTTTTCCAGTATTCATTCTATTTTAGGTACTCTTTAATTTTCTAGCTTATGCATTTACGAGACACACATTTAAGATTAAAAATTGTATAATTTCGAATGTAAAATTAAAACTTTTTAACAGAATATTTTTCTATATAGCAACTTTCCTTTTTAATTTTTTTGAAAATCATCTTCAGGGTTAACAATTACCAACCTTTACCTCGCCGTCGCTTTGACTTTCTCTCGGCGGTCCGCTGCCTCTGCTGCCTCCGCGACGTCCTCGTCTACCGCCTCTCGGGTAATACCATTGGCGGTATCCTCTTCGGCGATCGGCAGCGTATGGTGAACCTCGGACGGGATCACCATTGGGGCCGGTTATATCGGCCGCTTCGTTGCCTTTCTCTCCAACCACTACGCTAAATTCTACCACTTCGCCGTCGCCGACTGACCGGACGGCTTTTCTCGGGTTGTTCTTTATTATGGCCGACTGGAAACGATCAAAACGAAAAAAGTTAGTCTCGTAAAGAAAATTTTGTCAATTATAAATATTTGTATAGTTTATTTCCTTCAATTATTTGTTTATTTATCAACTAGCAATAATTGCCCAATTAAAATACAAGTTTAATAAAAGGGAACCTAGACTTAAGAGAATGTTGAAACAAAGAAACATAAATTACCATAAAATTAACATAAACATAAACAAGAAAAAATTAAATATTAAAAAAAACAAGATAGATAACAATTGTAAATAAGTTAAATTAAATTATCTAGACATCAAAATATCACATACATGATTTAAGCTGGGATTTAAAGACTTTATTTATTATCAAAGCAGTCCAATCTATCAGAATACTGATTAGCAAATCTACCTGACCTTCATAGAAAACAATTATGTTTGTAAGTAGTCCCATGTTGTCTAATAATGATTGGCTGAATAAGCCTTGTTTTCTAGAAGGAACATGAATATTGATTTTTCCCAATAGCTCTGGACCATAACTATACGAGTGCATATATTGCAGAATGTGGTAAGATCCTTGTACATGTGTCTGATCTGAAGAGTGGGAACTCTCAATATTTGAGTAATTAATATCCTAGACTCCACGGTGGTCCTTAAATGAAATAAATCTTAAAAATGTATGCTTGGCTTGAATATGAACATTGTAGTATAGGATCAGACATATTAACAGTAATCTAAATGGGGCATCACAAGTGAACAAAACAATATTTTAATGGATGATACCTCTAAAAACCCTTAGCGCAACGTTTAGTAAAGCCCAACATTTGAAGTGATTTTGAGACTGCCATTGATATGTAAGATAAGTTGGAATCGAGGACTTCACCCAAATCTTTAACTTGAGATACCGATTCCAAAGGGCAACCATTAATATTGTAGATTATTTGTTCTGTGGGAATTCTGTTACGACTGAAGACCATTTGATGGCACGTTTTAACATTAAATTTCATTCCACTGATTTCACTCCAGTTGCTGAGACGATTTAAATCAGCTTGCAGTTTTATGTAATCAGATTCGTTTTTTATTCTCATATATAATTTTAAATCATCTGCAAACATTAGGAATAGGGCAAAGACAAAACAGGATGCAATATCATTCACATATAAATTAAATAGAAGAGGGCCCAAGTGTGAACCATGGGGCACACCTGATGATACTTTAATTCCTATTGATCGGAAGCCCTGAATACGCACTATCTGTATTCTTTTAATAAGGTAAGAAGATAGCCATTCAAGCAGTTTCCCTTGAATTCCCAAACTCTGCATCTTATTAATTAAAACTTTACCCTATTAAAGGCTTATTTAAAATCTGTATACACAGCATGTACTTGATAACCGTCCTCTAGGGATTCCAAGAGATAGTACGTGTTAAAAAGTTAATTTCTGCTGAACGATGAGAAATAAATCCAAACTGTTGATACTGATAGGTCGATAGTTAGCAACCTGTGAGTTATCTCCGGAATTCAGTATAGGAGTAATGAAGCTTGCTTTCCAATATGCTGGGAATGTCCAGCTTTTTAAAGAAAGATTGAAGATATGAAAAAGGGGTCTGGAGAACAAAAAGATAGTGTTTAATAAGGGATGGTGGAAGACCAGCAGGGCCTGGCCCTTTGTTAATATCCAATTTTGATAGTTTTTCATAGATTGATGAGATATACAAAATTGTGATAGGTTGCTGTCATTTTGCAAAGTATTTTGCAAATTATAATTCTTATCACTATAAGTTTTATAAAATGATTACAATTCCCCATAAAAATAACATTTTAATTCATAATTACAAAATTGAAATTAAGTTAATCATCTAATCACATACAATTGGGGTATCTACCTCGGATAGCTTTAGTCAGAGGTGGTGTGGTCCAATAAATTAAAAGTTCTTAAAGGGCAGTAGTTTTCTTGAAAATTTTAAGTCACTAACACCATCAGTCCATAAAAAATGTTTCACTCAAATACCATGAGAGATACATGTTTTTTGCAAGAGACAAAAAAATGCTACAAATGAATATAGCTCTCCATAAAAAATTTAGGGAACAGGGGCGGCACTAAAAAAAAATACTGTTATTTATGGTAGGATTAGGGTGGTTTTACCCTTCCATGATTTCAGTTAGTGTAATTTTTGCTTTGAACAATGGCTCTTTAATTAAAATAGCTACATACAAAATTTTATAAAAATCGAATGAAGCATTTTTGAGTTATAAATAAACATTGAATATTTTCTTTCAACTTTGAGGCTTCCTCACAGGCAAAGAAGCACTTTGTGATATAGGTAATTTTGGCTCAATAGACTTATTTTGATCTCACCAACATACATCAGATTGTGTACACGGAATTTTGGGACACCCTGTATTTTTATTTCGGGACTATTTTCCAGTGTTAGTTTTTATAATATCGGTGGTCTGATTTTTTGAAAGACAAGCTACAAAATAGCAAGGATAAATAAATGATGTAATAATTTTCTTAAAATATTAAATGAATTACTTTTTATTTGAATTATAAAGGGAAATATTGTGCGAATGGTTTATTTTAAACAATTTGGTTTAGGGTACGGCCTCCAAACCGAACTCGTACCACATTTTGTTTAACCCTGAAATAATTTGTACAATAGATCCAATATTTATTATATTTTCCAAAGAGTAATTTTACACTTTATTTAGTCACTAAACTTTTTAACTATTTTCATATATAGAATGTAAAAAAATAATCTTTATTCACTAGAAGTTACATTATTTAAATGAGTTTTAAATCGAAAACCATTAGTCTATAAAGTAGTTTCTGGATGTTTTTGTCTACAAAATTAGTAGTTCAAACATTAACAGCCTACATTTCATGATAATTAAATAGGATAAGTACTGATAAACGGGTCATTCATCTCTTAATGGCGATATAGCTGTTTGGTAAGTATCCTGAATTTCAATTAAAATTTAAATAATTTGTCATTGCTATAGGTGAATTAAATAAAGGATGTCCCAAAAAAATAGGACAATCCGTTAATTATAAATTCCTTAGGTCAGTGCAAGAAACCTCTATTATTATTATTTTTTTTTTTTTTTTCGATTGGAGCCATCTAGTTCAATATATAGGGTAACAAAGTTAATTTAACAAAATACGTTTTTCATTATATTAAGTAGATGGCTTAAAATTGGTACACTTGGGTTTTTTTGAGTGAAAGATCATAATTCAGGCCTAAATAACACCTACCTCATAGAGGGCGCTAGTTGCAAGGGGTTTATTACCTTTAACCCCCCCTAACTTTTTTGTGCCCGCCAGTGGTGGTTACGTAATATCAATTTGTAAAGACATTTTCATGTTCTACAGTTTTTATCTGTTTTTTTTTTTCCGAAAAACGCTTAATTTTGTAAATATTTTGTATTTTATAACATCATGTTTTGCCAAAAAAACCTGATTTAATAATTAAGATTAATCAAAAGATCAGGTAAGTGAGGAAAGGTATTTTGAGAACGTAATTTAATATTAGTATTGGTGTTTTTTTTTGTTGCGTCATCGGCTTCAACTGCTAAGGTTATTTCGCCTCGTGTTCTGTATAGGCTTTGTTACTGTTTCCCAGCGCCACTTTAGGAACGGCACTGTTAATTAACATTGACTTTCCTTGTGAGATATAAAGGACTTTTTCTCACCCTTCACCTTAAAATTACCTCAACTCACACATGGCTACCCACCTTGTCAATGTTAATTAGAACCCAACAGTGAATGGTCGAGTGGGGAATCCTACCAAGGCATCAGAATTAATTTTAAATAATTAAATTAAATGAAAAAATTCCGGCCAACGGTAGGATACGAACCTGGGACCCATGAATCCACAGGCAGAGACTCTACCACTGAGCCACCCATCCCATTGTTGTTTTAATAATTAAGATTAATCAAAAGATCAGGTAAGTGAGGAAAGGTATTTTGAGAATGTAATTTAATATTTATTAGTATGTTTTTTTTTTGTTGTGTCATCGGCTTCAACTGCTAAGGTTCCAACCAAGAGCAGACAAAATCAACTGCTAAACCTTAGCAGAAGCGAACTAAAGGTCGTAATAGAACTCTTTACGGGATACTGCGGCCTTAGAGACACCTCAATCTCTTAGGGATATCTGATGACTCTCTATGTAGAATATGTGAAGAGGAGGACGAAACTCCTATTCACATACTGTGCCACTATCGGATCCTTAAATGGGAACGGGAATGGCACTTCGGGGTACAATATTCGGAACGTGAAAGACATATTCTTGAATTCGTCAAGAAAATTAATCTGAAGATGTAGAAACTGTGAGGGGTACAATAAGTAAAGAGTTTCAGTACGAGTGGGCTTTGAACCACACCCCAATTCAGATAGATAGATACATCCATTGATAATAATGCAATAATGTCATACTAAGAAGTATATATGTTGCTCTGATTAAAAGTGAATTTTCATGTGGATAAAGTCTATATTAAATAATGAAATTTATATCAATATGTGCCTGATATCATCAGCTACATTGTGGTGCAATTGTTTTAGAACATTTGACGCGATTTGTAGTGGTTATTTGATGAAATAATAATTTAAATTCAGTTTTAATATAAAAACTTGTCTGTGCAAAAAACTATTTCTTGTGGCTCATAAAAAAAGTGCAAAACTGATAACTGTATTGCTGTGGAAATCGATCTTTCAACTTGTATCCAGTGGCGTACCAATTTAAAATGTCTACATTTAAATGTTGTGGCAAAGAATTTAAAAATTTTGTTTGTGTAACGTGTTCAGGAGTTTTTCACCCCAGTTGTCTAGAGAGGGACGTGAAACATGCAATTAAACTTCGGAATCAACAAATTTATTGTTCCCAGACATGTCAAATTAAAGACAATGATGAAGAAGAAGCAAATGTTAAAGAATATGAGGAAGAAATATATACACTTAAACAAACTTTGGAAGAAAAAGAAAGATACATCAATAGATTAAAAAGGGGAACTCAAAGTTATGAAGATATGGTA